AGAGGATGACGCAGCCAGTGCACCTGCCGGGGAGCATGGCTGAACGCTGAACACTCATTCCGGCATGAGCCTTTCTGCCAGATCATATTTAGCGTTGCTGGAACCCAGGCTTGGGGTGCAGACAAGTTTTCCTATCAATTCTTCATTCCCCACCCAATAAACAGAACAGCGAAACACCTGCCCAAAACGCTTCGGGTTTTTAGCACATGACCAAGGATCATTTTTCTCCTTCAAACTCTCCTCTGTCCCCTGCTGGAGTTTATATTTGTTTCAGGGAGAAAGAAAACGTTGTCACCGTTTTGGATCTCTCATCCAATATACTCTTGATTATATCTGAAACCTATTTAAAAACACACATTAAAAAATATATATTTACTTACTTCTTATTTCGCTGGGAATCAATATAAAAGGGTATGTTTGTTTTTCTGAAAGATATTGCTAATTTTTTTTATTTCGTAAGCTTTGACAACTCCTTTGAAGTATCGGCACAGCTGAAAGAAAGATATCAGGCTCACATTTCTGGCTCCGGGCCGGGAGCCGTGTGAGTTCAAAGAGGCTGCGAACCACATCAAAACTCCCCAGGTAGAACACCTGGGGCGGCCCTTGATGGACAAGGTTTGGGGAACAGCAGCCAGACTGAGAGAAGCAAAGAAAGCCAGTCTGGTAATCCCCAGACTAGGGGTCTCCCAGCCTGAATCCGGCAGACGCTCCCCCAGCCCCACAACTGTACACCTGCATATCTGTTGGAGGATTTAGTAAAACTCAAGGAAACCCGTTTTCCTCTGGTGCAGCTGATCTAAAACTCCAGCCGTCTAGAGTGTTATCCAGCACTCTGCTTTTGGAGAAAAACCCAAGTGACGCAACAGTGAGAAGTTAACTCTCCCAAAAAAGCCTTTCGGTATGTCTGGGGTCAGCATGTGAAACTAACACCCTGCTGAACACACCCATGAGCCTAATCCTACTCTGGGTAGACCCGGTACCCAGCACAGAGAGGATGTGGCCCCTGTGATGAACCGGGAACGGGAGGCCGCCCAGCTGGGGATGCAGCCGGGCGTGCGGTCGGCGGCAGCACCGCCCGGACCAGCGTGGACTGGGTGAAATCGACCAGCACACCGGGGTTAGGAGGGGCTCAGAGATGGCCCGGTGCCACACGTCTCTCTTTGGAGGTAAGAAAAGTGAAGTTCTGAGCGTTTGGGGGGCAGTTGGTTTTCTAGTCTAGAAGCCATTCTCTCGACCCTGGGGCCACGCTGGTTCTAGACACACCGCTTCTCGATGCCGGGTTTGGCTCACTTGCATCCGGCACACAGCCTGGTTTAATGCAGCCCGTGCACCCAGGCTAATGCACATAAAACACTGCACCTCCGCCTACCAGGTCATTCGCACATTGAAGAGTCAATGGCGTGTGTTGAAGAACGGATCTGTTCATGGAGCACAGATTAAAATACTTAATCATGCAAATTTTACATCATCTTTCAAATTATCACGCAAAAAAATATCGTTAACTGGCATGTCCCACCGTATTGATTTGATCTAGCGCTGTGGACGGCACACAAAAGGTGTCTATCTACTCATGTGGACTCTGAGTTTGTTCATGTATTCATTCAAACATCACTGTTTCTTACTGCATGCAATACACAGCCTCGGGTATTGGAGGGGACTAATAACCACAGTTTACGGAGTGCCAGCCATGTGCCTCGTTCTTTATATGCATCGACTGTCACTCTCACAACAGTCCTGTGAAGTAGAGATTATCACTCCCATTCTACAGGAGAGAACACTGAGGCATGAATCTTGAATAACTCAGCCAAGGTCATACCAGAACCAGGATTTGAATCCATACCTGAACCCAAAGTCCAGGCTCTCAGAGACATACCTTCCACCCTGAAAACACAAATGACCTGGTAGAGGAGATAAACAAGTCAACTGGAAATCAAAACAGATTCTCATAGCTACTTCAGGACAGGTAACCTTCTACAGAACTAAAAGGAAGAGAGATATCTCTTATGGAGAGAGGTTAGGAAGGCTTTGTGGAGACAGGCATTTGTGGGCCTTGAGGTATGAGTAGGAGTCCCGAAGATGGAGATAAAGGGGAAGGAGATTCAGAGTAGGGGGCTGAGCAGGCTCCATCTCTGAGAATCTGGAAAGCATAGCGGTGCCTTCGGGGAGCACACAGCCATTGGTTCACTAGGAGATGGCACGCCAAGAGAAGTGCTGAAGGCGATCTTGGAACACACAGTTTCTTCCTAGTGATAATCAAATATTAAGAAGGCCAGTCTTTATCCTAATGGGTATGTTTGTTCTTGTTTTGAAAGCAGAACCTCTGTAAGTGTAACTCAAACATTATAAACGAAAAAGACATGTCAAATAAAGGAACGGAGGACGGCGTCCATGGGGCTCCTGACTGATCTCCAGCCCGCCTCCTTGGGAGGTCATCTGAGGTCACTCTGGTCCAGGTCAGACAGTCATTTTAGCAAGTATGTCGGGCATCTCCAGAAACACTGTCAATGTGGTCCCTGGACAGACCTCTCTTATCTCTCCAGGATCCAGTTCAATCACATTAAAAAAAAAAAAAAGAGTGGTTGCCTATCAACCACAACGGACATGCCCTAAAAAGACACAAACTCCCCACATCCGCAGATGCGTCCCTAAAACGTTTCAATCCGTCCAGTGATGGTTTTCAGAGCCTCCTGTCAGGTACCTGCCTGGCTAGGCACGGAGGACACAGTATGGTCCTCAGGGAAATGACAATCCAGCATGTTCTTCCACAGCAGGGTGGAGGCTAGTGTGATTAGACGGATAAAGAAAACATTAGGAAAGTGTTGGGCTGGGTCAGGGGAGTCCACAAGTTTGATTTGGGACATGTTAAGTTGGGGGCATTTGACATCCCAGAAGAAAGGTAGAGTGGGCACCTGAGCCTGGGAATTGCAGAGGACTGGTCTGGGCTAGGATGTGCCTCTGACCTGGAAGGAGGGAGTTTTGCTAAAAGGGGGATGGCTTGGACTGGGATGACGGCAGCAGAAGGAGAGACAAGTGGACCAACGGGGGCACAGTTCAAAGGAGACCCACCTTCACATTCCAGCTTCATTGCTAACCAACCATCAACTGCTGTCAACTCCTCACACATCCACCTTCAATACGCCCCCTCTGCGGACCCCGGACCCCCATCCTACGGCTGCTGCAGCCACTCTCAGGGGTTGATGATTTGCTCACACACACGTCCCTGGACGGGAAGGGGTAAAGCACGAGGACACAGAGCTCCGGGAGGCTTCTGCAGGCTTCCTTGGAGGCACTGTCCCTGGCCATCTCGGGGCCAGGTGTCCCTCCACAGAAGTGAGAAGTGGCCCCCGTGCAGGGATTGTGGACCTGACCACGATGCTTCACATTCCCTCTGTGCCTCCACAGGGGTCCCGGGAGGCATCACAGTGACAGTAACATGAACTTCCTCAACCCACAACTCACTTGGCTGGGGGCGCTAACTAGGTATGGCTTTAAATCTAAAACCATCTGGATTCATCTGGCCTTCTACAGGGACAAATCTAGCTCTTAAGTCTCATTGACACATGGAAAGTCTGGGGATTTTGTGGGGAGGGGAGGGGCAGTTGCTGGTTCACAGGCATCACTAACACCAATGAACAAAGACCTCAGCCCCTGAGATCATGGTCAGAGGCAGTGTCACATTGGGGAAGGGCCTGTTTCATGTCACCACCTGGCCCTTTGCTCCCCGAAGGCTTAGAGCCTGTGCTCAGAAAGCCCAGATCTCAGTCCTATTCGCACACAGAGCTCTGCCCCATACCACGAAGGATGAGTGACCATGGCAGTCAGGAGGCAGCCTGGGCCACCGGCACCCACACTTTCACACCCTCCTTTGGCTGCGAGCTCTGGTTCTGAAAAGGCACAGACCTCCCTTGACCCCCTCCCTGCCACAGTTTATAGGGGCATGAGTCTATTTTGCAGAGGCAGGAATTCACTGACCTTTCCAGACACAAAGACCTCCAGGGACCCTGGGTCAAGAGGCACCGGGGGTCAGGAGCTGGCTGGACATGGGCCCAGAGACTCTGAAACACGTGACCAGCCTTTGCCGGTTTTGATCCAGTTCTGCCACCTCTCACTCTAGAATACAAGCACACACAGAGCCGGATTCCGCTTGCCTTGAGTTTCCTGGGTTGAAACTCTGGTAGAGAGGTCCTCTTCCGCGACAGATCGATATCACAATTCTGCCAGTATAATTGTTTCACCTTTCTAGAAAGGTTTGCCATGCCAGGAAGTAATTTAGGTCAAGTCCAGCACAATCACTCAGGGCTTGGCTACGCCTCTCCATCCTAGGGGGTTGTCTGGCCTTTCCCAGATGGTCCCGGGAAGCCCGCGGGCTTGGCGTTGCACTGCCCTCTGGCCCAGGAACTCTGACAGGTCACCCCGCTGACGCTGCGGGCCGGCCTGGGCCAGCGGGGCCTGCCCACTTCCCCCACACTCCCTGCCGCATCTCTGAGCCCCCAGCGGCATCCCACTCCGTTCCCCTCCCTGGGAAGGCAAGGGGCGCCTGGACAGCAGCGCACGCCCCTCCGGAGTTGGTGCAACTCGGAGTCGCTTCCTCCAAAGGCACCCGTCTCGTCTCGACCCCTGCGTGCGGCAGCCCCCAACACACCCGCTTGGCACCCCCCTCTCGGTCTCCCCTGCTTTCACACGCGTCCTCACTGTCGCCGTCCCCCCAGCGCCGTCGCCACCCGCAGACACACACGCTCCTCTGGTCCGTTTACCCAGAGGGAACGCGAGAGCTGCCAACCTGGTCGCCAAGTTGGGCTGCGGGGGTCCGGGGCCCGAGGGCCGGGGTCGCGCGGTCCCTTGACGCTGGCACCGGACGCGCCGCGGGCCGGCAGGGACCGGGCTCGGGGACCCGGCACCCCGGCGCGGCCGCTCCCGCGGCGGCGGCCGAGGCGGCGTCCCCGGCCTGCTCCGGCCGCCCCGGGCGCGCGGCCCCCGGTCCGCACCCCACGCACGCTCACCTCGGGGGGGCCGGTCCGGTCGCGCCGATCCCGCCGCCGCGGCGGCTCCGCATCTCCCGTGCGCCCGCCCGCCGCCCTCCGGGGCGCCCCGCCGTCCCCGCCGGGCGCGCAGGAGGGTCGTGGGGACGCGCGGAGACCGCGGGGTCCGGGCGCCGCCGCCCGCCGCCGCACCCGCGCCGCCCGCTGCCGAGCAGGAAATTTGTCCGGCCGCTCCCGCTGCTCCTGCGCGCCGCTCGGCTCGGGCTCCGCGGCGGGGGCGGGGGCCCGGCGCCGCGAGGAGCGGGGGCGACGCCTGGTGTCCGGCGCGGGGAGCGCACCCGGCGCCCGCCCCACCTGAGGCCACGGCTCCGCCCCGCAGGGATGGCCGGCGCCCGGCAGGGACCCGGCCATCCTGGACGTTATAGCCCAGGCTGGTGCCCCACGCGGAGACCCTGGCCGGGGCCCCAGTGCCCGGACCCAGGCATCATGTAGGGGGTCAGGGTGTGACAGCCACTTTTACGAGCGGGAAAGGCCCTACCCAGCCTTGGCCCTGGACACCAGGAAGTGGCGTGGCTGGGCGCCAGCTCGGGGCCATGCAATCGGTCCAGGAGAGCAGAGGGCAGGCACCCTGTACTGCCTCTGGTTCGGAGAAGTAGGGAGAGCCGGGAAATCTCCTGAGCTGGTATCTTCCTCTGTAAAGCGGGAATAAGGGTGGCCACTTGGTGGATGTTGAAAAGGGCTTCCTTGTCGTTAAGGCAATATCCAGCACACGCAGGAGGAACAGCGACTGCCAGAGGGGTCTGGACCGGCTCTTCTGGGGGACCGCTTTCCAGGTGACCTCTTGCAAGCTATTTAGGGAGGTTTCAGAGTAAAGGAGATTCCATGGGGAAGGGCAGAAAGGATACATGTTGTCTCATCTTGGTTCTGAGCCTTCCTGCTGTGCCCTCCACGTTGGTCCAAGGCCCCCGCCCTCATGAAGGATAGTGCATCCCTGTTGCAGGGACCTCACTCATTATGGCTTCTGAATGAAGGAGCCAATGGTGAGAAGGTGCTATTCAGGGTGTGTTGCCCCACCTTGTATCAGTAGCCAGCAGACCACCTTCTGAGACACTTGGGACCTGTTCTGGACAGAGCTGTAGACCCCAAAGGCTGAGCAGGATGGCCACCTATTGGCTGAGACCGTCCACAATGCAACTTCCTTTCCACAGGGTGTAAAGAGGGGTCAAAGAGTGGAGAACTTGAACTCAACTTTCTTGCCTTGCCCTGTCCATGCTGTCCCTGGGGGATCTTGTCCAGCGCCAGGACTTTAAAACACCATGTCTATGCAGGGAGCTCCAGAAAGCACAGCTCGTCTGGTGGTCTCCTCCAGGCTCTGGTCCTCCTGGCTGTCTACCATGGCAGACCCAACTCTTGCTCTGACTCTGTTTCTCGGCAGGCATCCTGTCTCCGCCTCCCCTCCCACCTCTAATCCATCCCTACGTCTACTTCCTGTCTAGCTCCAAAACGCCTCTTGAATGTGCCTCTCCTCCCCACTCCACTGCCTTCACTGATGACTGCAGTGGTCCGCCAACTTCTGACTCACTGTTGTTTAGGCAATCCATTCTAAGCACACCATCCAGGGGGACCCCTATGAATGGAACCCGGTCCTGCCAGTCCTCTGCTTAAAAGCCTTCGTTCCGAATAAAATCCAAACGCGTGGGAGGCTCTGCCTGACGTCTCAGCGGCTCCTGAGCCCCTCACCCCGTTCCCTGGGCTCCAGCCCCCAGGTCCATCTCTCAGGGTCAGAGCCCAGCTCTTCCCCACCTGAGACTCCCCTCCTTGGTACCTGGCCTGCGCCTTCTTCCTGACTGCCTCTGGAAAATCACCCTGCACCCCTCCCCTCGGGTCCTCTCTCACAAGGTGTATTCACTTGTAGGGCATCAGTCACGGCCCCCTCCTTCCCCCTCTCTCAGGGCTGTGAGCTCCAAGAGCGTCCACGCTGTGCCTCTCCCCATCACCTCTCCATCTCCAGCTCCTGTTGCAGCAGGATAGCCAGGAGGTGCCCAATAAAAGCCTGTGGGCTGACAGAACAGAGGAGGGGCGCCAGCCCCAGCGCCAGGCAGCCTGGTCACCCTGGAGACCAGCAGGTGGGCGGCTTCCTCCTAAGCGCGCCCTGGGGGAACAGCCCAGGTCAGGTGGGGCTAGGTAGCCCAGTGACTCCACCCAGCTGTCAATGTCCCTGCCGTGGTGGCCTCCAGAGCCAGCCTTCTGTACAGGAGGCGATCATTTCAAACTCTGATGAGCACAGTTTTGCTTGTTAACCCTGCAGGGCTGCAGAGGCAGAGACTGTGATGCAAGAAGAGAGAAACAAGTTGCCTTTGTCAGACATCTGCTGTTGGAAAGTCAGCAGCTGGGGGAACATGATGAGGGGCAGATGGTGCCTCTCTCCGGGGGAGATCCTCTCTGCTGGACCCCAGCGATTCTTCCCGGAATTAAGCAATATCCCTCCACCTCTGAAGTCTAAAGACATTCATCATTGTCGTACAAGAGTGTGTCGTCAGAGACATCGATCCAGGGTTGTGTTGATTCCCATTCGGAAACCCCTTGACCCTCCATATCCATCTTCCTTCCATCTCTCATGGGCTCAAGGCCCCTCCTGACATCAGAATCAATTCCCTTTTTCCCCTCCTAGGCTCTGAGGACCACCCCCAGCCTCTTGCCATCCTGAACACCTACGTACTCTCATCTTTCGTGACCCCAGGACATGGCCCTTCTTACCTCCACAGCTTCCTCTTTAGCCCCTGACGCACTTCCTGTTTAAACCACCATCGGTTTCACATACGCCGTCCTCCCACCTGTCTCTCACCTCCTCCCCTTCACCAAGCCATGCAGCTCCTTTCCTTTAAAACACAGCTGGAGGCAGTTTTCCTGTGTCTGGTAATGTTAACTGTAGTTATGTGTCTCATTTTCCATTTTACTGGAGGACTGGAGGACCCTACCCGGCCTTTGGATTTCTCTGCAGTAACCCAGATAATGCCCGTCATGCTTTAAGGGCTCAACAGATGCCAGTCAAAGTTAAAATGCTGAGGCCAGAAATGGTCTCTAGAAGAATAAGCAAAAAAGGCAAAATTGGTATGTAGACAGAAATCAGAGTTTGCTTTTAAACATTGTCCAGAAACATTAACATAAAATTGCTCAAATTTGGGAGATAAAATCAGAAGGTCTTGGTGACTGTTGGCTACAGAACAGGGCAAGGAAGGAAGACTGATTTTTTTTCTTTAATTTTTATTTATTTATTTACTTAATTTTGGCTGCATTGGGTCTTCGCTCCTGCGCGAGGGCTTTCTCTAGTTGCGGAGAGCAGGGGCTACTCTTCCTTGCGGTGCGTGGGCTTCTCATTGAGGTGGCTTCTCTTGTTGCGGAGCACAGGCTGTAGGCGCGCGGGCTTCAGTAGTTGTGGCTCGCGGGCTCTAGAGCGCAGGCTCCGTAGTTGTGGCACACGGGCTTAGTTGCTCCACGGCATGTGGGATCTTCCCGGACCAGGGATCGAAACTGTGTCCCCTGCATTGGCAGGCAGATTCTTATCCACTGCGCCACCAGGGAAACCCAGGAAGACTGATTTCAGGACCTGTCCCCACATAGAGAAAACTCAGGATGGATGGCTATTCCAATCTCTAGAATGTGCCAGAATGAGTAACTCTAGTGGATCCAGAATTTTCCATTTTTACATTACCCATCTATCCTACTCCCTCCTCTTTTCCCAAGTTATGCCCAAGTATTAACATTTACTAATCAGTGAAATCATGAGGACAGACCCTTTGCTGGAATTTCCCTTTACCCTTTTCTTCTTGGATTACTTTTCATTGTTGAATAATATATCATGTATTATAGAGATCCTAAATGTACAGTTTAATAAATAAAGACAAATGCATCTATCAAGATATTGAACATTTACATCACCCCAAAAAGTTCTCTCATGCCTCTTCCCAGAAAATCTCCCACTCCTGCCAAAGACAGCCCCTGTTTTGATGTCTATTACCATAGATAGTTTAACCTGATCTAGATCTTCATATTAATGGAATCGTACAGAATATACTTTTTTATTTCTAGTTTCTTTCACACAGCAAAACCTCTTTGAGTTTCATGCTTTATTACCTATATCAGTAATTTAGGTAATGTATCTTTTTTCTCTCTTTGCTTCAAAGATTTTCTCATTTGTTTTTTTAAAAATTTGATTAAAATATGTCTTAGTGCAGTTTTCTTTGTCTCTATCACACTTGGGATTAGTTGTACTTCTTGTTCATAAGGTATATAATATAGTTTATAATACCTAGTTTATAGTTTTCATCAAATTTGGGAATTTTTCAGCCATTATTTCGTCAAAAATGTTTTCTGCCTGCCCTCATTTCTGGGACTTCATTTATATGTACATGGTATAGCCTAATATTGTCCCATAAGTCACTGAAGCTCTTTAAACTTTTAAGCCATTTTTTTCTCTGTATTTCAGTTTGCCTAGTTTTTATTGCTATATATTTAAGCTTGCTAATCTTTTCTTTTACAGAGCTTAATCTTCTCTTAAGTCCACCCAGTGAAATTTTTATTCAGATATTGTATTTTTAGGTCATAGAATTTTTATTTGGTTATTTTAAAACTAATTTTTATTTCTCTGCCAAGTTTCTTCATATGTTTATTTATTGTATTCAGCTTTTCCATTAAATCCTTGAATATATTCATTATAGCACTTATAAGTTCTTGGCTAATTTTAACATCTATGTCATCTTTGAATGTGCATCTATTGAGTTTTTTGGTCCTGATTATTTTCCTGCTCCTTTACAGGTCTATTTTTTTTTTTTAATCGTTTGCAGGATGCAACATTCCTGAGAGTTTAGATTGCTTGAGCTTTTGTTAGAATAAGTCTGTAGAAACCCTTTTAGGTGAGAGTAGCCCCAGTTTTATGACAGACTTCACTGAAGTCTCATCCTGATAATGTACAAGTTAGTATTCTATGGAAGACTTCAGGAGCTCTTATGCAGACCTCTAGAACTTCTTTTCTGCACAGATTTATTCTGCTTTGGCACCCTGTCTCACACATTCCAGCCTCCCCAGTAGCCACAAACTTTGATTTCTGTTCCTCTACTCAGACACAAAGCTGCTCTCTCTTTGGGCTTTACTTCTCTGTGCTGCAGTTCAGAAAACTTCCCAGTCAGAATGCTGGGGTTAATGTTGTAATCATTTCATAT